AATAAATAAAAAAAATTCAGAATTCATAAATTACAATTTTAATAACTGCATCATACCAAAGTGGCAGTTTATTCTGTCAAGGTAAATTCAAAAATTTATTTTAATAATTCAAAACTTTCACTATACCCATGGGCTTCAGAGGCTTTGCATGAATTGGATCTAGATGATGATTTGAACGATACATTTGAGCTTGAAGTAACAGAAACTCAGTAATTCAATGCCAATGATTCACAGTCTTTCCTACTCACCACACCACCCGCTAACCCATTATATTGCCACTATGTAAGTTCCTTGGTTAGAAACATTGAAACATATTTTGTAATGTCATGCACCACGTGAGTTCTATCAGTTTCAAAAGTTAGCTCCATCTTCTTAGCACAGACCTTTTGTTTCCATGTGTTGGACAGTATTTTCTTTTATTTGGGAACCTTTTACGCGTGTATTATATGATAATGAATTTATCATGCTCAATTATTGCTTAATCAATTCATCTGACAAACCCACATAGCTCAAGGATTAAAGGCCCACACCCAATTTCATCATCATCATTTAGCTCTAGTACCTAAACACTCCGAACTAAAATAAAATGTACAGATGGAATGCTTGGCATTTAGTTTTTCACTTTAAGTTTAAGTTTAAATACAAACTTTAAAAAAAAAGACAGCTTGAAAACATTGTATTCAGGTACCGGTATGATGATAGTTACCTCGTTGGGACACTAAATAGTTGTCAAACGGATCAACATCTTGAACCTCGGGTACCAAATTGAACTGAGAAAGAACATGGTTTTCGTTTATCCATTCTGTAGCATATATGAATGCATGACGCATAAATCCAGCATCCTCTTCAAATAATCCTCCTAAAAAATTCAACACCTTTAATTTATGTGCAAGCCAATTTGATTCCATATTCAGTCCAGACTTTTGAAATTTGAAATACACATTTCAAATATGTTTTTGAGTAGTCAAATGTTAGATATTCAAATATTTATAATGTCCAAAATGTTCATTAAAATATATTTAGCATATTATTTATTTTAAAAATTATTCTTAAAGTAATTAATTGTTGAAAACACAATATAATTTGTTCAGAATTTTGTTGATAATTTCAAAAAAGCTTCTTTATTGCAACTGTAAGAATTTACCAATAGAAACTATATAAATGTTAACCATTTGATGTAAATCCTGACAAATGTTTACTTCTGTTTTGAAGCAATGATAAATAAGCCAGAGAAAATAGTTACTAGAATATATTGTTCACATATTTTTTTAAAGCTAGTTTTACGAAGAAAGTAGTTTTACCATGTTGTTAACTCTCTAAAAAATCAATAATAACAGGTTTTAAAAGCTTACAAATGACCTATGAACGATTATATTTCCTCAATATAGTAACAATAATTTCCACTATCAAGCAACAATAATTATTTGTATGGTTATTTTCTCGATCAAACAAGAACAATAATTTTTAAAACAACAATTCCTCCCACAGCCAACACAGATCAAAAATAATTTTGACAATCAAACAACCACAAATTGACATTCACAAAAAACCATTTTGATAGTCAGACAAAATAGCCCACAATAAAAACATCCCAAACTTAATATAAAATAATTAAAGAGAAAGGAATCAAAATAAAATATTTTAGTTGATGTAATACTGGTTGAGTAATAGGTATTGTATAAAGTTGTGCATAAGTTTGATTGTTGTTATGTTGTGAATACTTATATTCTAGAGCCGGTTACAAAATGTAATTAGTGACTTTTTTAGATGTTGATGTTTAATTCTATTGGGAAGACACATATTGTGCAACTCAACCTCCTCGAAATGGACCCGCCTAATTAAGGAGTGCAAAAATAGAACTGTGACGCTCACATCTTATTGTACATCCTACTTGTGGAAGGTTTTGTATAAATTATAGTTTTATGAGTGCTGTTAACTTCCTTTCACAAGTACAATGCAGTGTAGGGAATGGTTTGTGTTTGTGTACATGAAATATCCACATTGCAAAATTAATATTTGCATTTAAAATTTGTTTGATTGGGACAAAGATAATTTATTTAATGAGGTGAAAGTTTGTAAAAATTGTTATTTCAGTTAAGTCCTACTGGCTGGTCAGTTTCCATAAGAAAATACTTCTAACATTAACTGAGATTCTATCAGGCAGTTAAAGTCAGAAGAATAAGAATAATGTAGGTACTGTTTAGTTTTAATCTAACCAAAGTAAAGCGGTAGCTTTTCCTGCAAAACTGTTAAAAATGAAAGTTGCACCTTACCTGGGGTAAAAAGTTTCAGAAATTTGTACCTCAAAATATCTGCTACCGCTACTCAGACTGTTTGGAATTTCAAAAAAAATTGTTAAAGAGATTCAATCTTCAACAAAAATATTAGCGGTTCCATGAGATAAAACTTTTCAGTGAGTTTCACAAAAAATGTATATTATTTATATGAATTGAGTTTAAGAGAAAAAATATCAAATATTTCTAGAAGAAAGTAGTTTCCCAACCCTAAGTATGCATAGATTGTTTGTTGTAGAGAAGTTGTCTAAATAGTTTAGAGTTGTTTATGGCAGTTTGGCCATATTCTTGTCAGCTGAGTTATTTATTGAAACTCTGCTACTTCCACTCTTCTCCATCAGCTATCACTCAACACCAGCAAGTTAAACATAAATTTAAACACCTTATAGTACAGATTTTTTGCAAACATCTTTTAATATGCTGACCTACTCATCAGATAAAATTAAATGATTACCGGTAATGATTTCATGAGGTTAAAAAAAAAACAAAACTAGCAACAGAAACTGTTGTGGTTAAATATATACAATGTTCCCTAGAAATATAATGGTTATGAAATCCATACACCACTTTACTCACTAATAATGTTACAGATTAAGCAGATAACTGTAGAAACACTCACGAAACACAAGAAACACACTTTAACCACAAATCCAAATGCAAACAACAAAATGTAAACAAAAGGAAATAAATCAAGGAATAACAAGGAAGGATGTTATAAGGATCAAGGAAATAACAATAAACAACCAGATGTTGAATTATTAGCACATGTTCCATGTGTTTAGATGTGCATACTGGCAAGCCCATTACTCTCATAAGTCATTAAAAAATTTAACTTTCAATAATTATTTTCAAATTTAGACGGATGAAGCTCTCCATTGAACTATTAGTTAATAAAATCGGTCCAGTAAACTGTTGATTTGGCTGTACAAAGTTTGTATTGTACTAATAATCTGAAAGAGAATAACATTTTCTATAAATTACCATTATGCATTTTGTGAAAATAATCAATAAAGGCAGCCAAAAGTTGCCTCCAAATACAAAATGTGATGAAAAACTTGTTTTTTAAAAACATTGTTTACCATAAATCCTAGAAAAAAACACTTTTATAATTATATGCAAATCTCTATAGGGTCCATCTACAAATCTAAAGCTTTCCAAAGACCCATTGAAAAATCGGTTATTTTATAACTGTATAGGTTTAGTTGTACAACGAGTTTAAAACTAATTATTTTTTATAACAGATACTTTTTTTTAAGTAGCGGAATAAGTAATATACAATGCAACAAATTATAAAAATTAAGTATACAGTTGAACAACATGTTTTTTTTTACTTTTAAAACAGCAAAATAATGTTACAAATGGCTAAGGGTTGTTGCCTTAAAGTTCTTTTTGGATGATTACTTAAAAATTCTGTGTTGTATTGGTACACTGAGAAATCTGTCAAATTAGAAAACCTTAAATGGTGAAGGAGGTAAGTGGTTGGTTACTTTAATATTTTAAAACTGTCATAGCTTTAAAATACAGCAGAAAAGCTGATTGTTAGTTCATAACTGACAGTAATAAACCCTGCAAAATATGTCCAGTGTTTATAGTTTTTAGTCCTGTCGAATTTACCAACGTTTTTGTTAAATCTTTTGTTTAAAAAAGTTAAAACATAAATTTGATCTCTTTTCGAGTTTAGGACAAGCTAATCCTTTTTCATTTATATTATAGTTTTTACATAAAAACTTTTTCACAATATATATGAGTTATAATTAACCAAGAGTCAATAAATATGTTTCCTTTTAGTAAGTGTGTAAAATTTGGTTTGTCACAAACCAATTTAAACAATAATAAAGTTAAATAAGATATCTTACATTTATAAAATATATCATACAGCAAAGTTTTATGAATATTAACAAGCAAATCTCATAAAAAAAGTAAAATTTAATCGTAAAAATTTGAATTATCTTTTACTCACCAATTGTAAGGTTTTCCTTATGGTCATTTCTCGATTCGACCGAAGTAAGAAGTAGAAACAACAAAAACCACATGTTGGCAGATACACTGACTTAAAAATCACAATTGAAAAACATTACGTTAATTTTTGAAAGAGAATACTTGACAAATGTTGCACTATACTATTGACAAAAGCCATACTGTTTAAGATCCTAATTTATTTCATCTTGCATTGAGAACTTAACATACACAATTTTAGCTAAAAGTTGAATGTTGTGGATGCGAAATCGTTTAAATTTGGACGTCGGAGAGACACTGGCGAGCCATGACAGCCCAAGCAAGCTATTTTCAACAGCCAACCTGTCCAAGTAACGAATGTTTGTCTACTTTTCTTCTGCCTCTCACCCTATTTACTTTAGTAACTTGATGATGGATGAAGGCCTTGTGAAAATATAATGGCTTATAATGTAAATACCTTCTCTGGACTTAACTACAAACAAGTATACAAACAGCTTGATGAAATAGAACTACCCTTTACAAAGGGATGAAAAGAAAAATCAATAAATTATAATACAGCTTTTAAAAAATATTCCAATCTTTTGAGCAAAATAAATAAAAGATATATTTATAACATTAGAAATCAAATTTGTCGTCAAATTTAATCTGAAATATATTCTGTCCTGTTTCAAATTATTCCTTTTCCAATGGTTACACAAGAGTTTTTTAAAGGATGAACTAAATAGATAAGTCAGGGAAGTAAATGCAGTCATACAATTTATTGTATTTAGATTTCCCAACAATTAATAACTAAAGACGGAAAGATCTGGTAGGGTCTGAGTTTTCTTCAGAAGTATTTTCTTCCGATGGTGTTTTTAGTTTCTTCACAGTGCCTTTACAGCTGATCACAAACTTCAGTTCTCGTTTTAATTCATTCCAAAAAGGTCCCTAAAATATAACCAAATTAAATAAGTCATTCACTTAAGTCTTAAACATGATATGTATACTATACAATTTCAATTTGCAATAGAATCTAGACAAGGTCACAGTACATAGATGAAAGTTAATACATCAAATATATAATAATATAAGAAATATGAAAAACTCAACTAACCCATGGGGTGTCACACAATTAATAACTAATTGAAACAATATACAGTATCACATTATTTTCCTAAGTAGGAAGTAACTGGTTATTTTAGTAACTTAAACTATAGTAAAAAGTTATTTTCAAAAACACTCTCTCATGATAAAATATTATTAAAACTCAACCCTTTAGAACTCCAGGGATTATTTAGTAACTTAATTTGCTTGTGGTATAAAAATCTAAATTATTACAAAACAATGTTTTGGTTCAGTAAGATACCTAGACAAAAAGTAGCAAACCGCTTGAGTTTACGTGCAAAACACAAAGAATTCACCCATCCTGGCAACTTCAACCTGAGTCAACCAACCTTAAATGTACGTGGGACTCTGCCTCAGAAAGCACTTTACATGAGTTGCATACCCAACCTGACTCGGATGTCATTTGAACCCTCATTCCAGCGGAAAAACAATGTTTTAGCTCGACCATCGACGGGACTGCCCTCTGTTGGACTAACAGTATTGGTTGCCCCAAGCATAATAGTTAAAAACATGACCCCCAGGTCATAGCACATGTTAGGTTTATAGCTTTCTGCCGTTTTAGTTCAGTTATAATTATATGGATGTAAGTGAAAGTTAGTTATGTTAATCCAGCACCCTATTAACATAGGCTGTTGGAGCTTGAAGAGCTAACTAAATCACAGAAAAGTAGATTTAAATTAAATTACCCTATCTTCCTTCATGAAGACCTCAAACATCAGTTCTCCCAGAGATAAGACCCCAGCAAGTAATGTTCCAAACACCAGTACCAGGAACACCCCACCAACATTGTCCAGATCCAATGGAACTGCGTCTGCTCCATCCCCATCATCCTGCCAAATAGAAGATATTTTTGCAAAGGATATGATAGATATTTTTATCTAAAATTTCACTTTTATTGTAATTTGATAATTAATTAAGAGGCTCCAAATTTGAAGCTTAATTCTTAAGGTCTTTTCAAACTAGATTATAGCATAGACTTAAACGGTGGCGTCGTCCTGTAATCCAGCTACTATAGGAGGTCACAAATTGTGGATATTTATAGGCATGCACTTTGTATGCGAAACTCCCTAGTGTGGATTAACGTCCGCACTAGTGAGTACTACGACTATCCGCAGTACTATCCTGATAATTAGACCAATTTGTTTCCACTATAAACTATAGGTCCCTTAGTTGCCATTGGCTGTATGGGATATTAATAATTAACAGCTGTGTCTAGGAACATGTCGGCCTTAGTCACTAACAAGACTACAAGATCGCGCCACTCATCGTACACTCATCTCCATTCATACTTGGCTTAAAATACCTACATTTGTATGGTCGCCATTTCAGATTAAAGTATTAGGTTGAGCGGTTTTAGAGAATAGAAGTCCCAAACGCCAGATAGGTAGTCCTCACTCGTCACTCTCTACCTTGATGGTGCAATATAGCGTTTACTAAATTCCCCTATGAAAAATTGAACACCGATCTACTCTCAAGGTAGGTCATATGGCTATATAGGTTGTGTTTATGATTTTAAATTATCTTACTTTTTTCACCAAACAACAATAGCCCCATCAAAATGCTCTGTTGGCATTTTCCACTTAGAAAAAAGGTCGATAATTTGAATGTTAAATTTTCTTTGATGCTCTGTGACCAATATTACAAAGGAAAATCGTAAAAAAACGACACCATATGCTGCATAAAACTATGACAATCATGCAAAAATAATGTCATTGACTGTATGAAAATCGATATTTTCTATAGTTTTTCTTATTTTACTAATTTTTAGGACACAGTACATCTTGTCTATATGGACCAACTGAAGCAATTTTTGTTATAGAAAACATAGGTAAATGAGCCTCTGGTATAGGTTATTGAAAATCAACCACATCTGCCATAATAGCGCTAACTGAATATGTAATAGATAATCTAGAAGAAGGAAACATACCGAGCGCAATTTTACTTGATTTCAGCAAAGCATTTGACTGCTTAGATCATACACAACTGTGTAACAAGTTGAGAAAAATTGGAGTTGGTGGGAAAACTGCAGAGTGGCTCAAGAGCTATTTAACTGGAAGGAGTCAGATGGTTGAACTTAAATAAGTTACACTGAAAAGGGATCTACACACAAACAGTAAGATCAAAGTTATTACCTGTATGTAAGGGGTGTTCCACAGGGTTCTGTGCTGGGCCCCGTTCTTTTCATCTTGTTTACAAATGATCTCCCTCACTCATTTGGTATAAGTCTTTTCAGTATGAGATAGTTGAAATGTTAGTTTATGAGAAAGGAAACAGTATTATACATCTGTATTATACAATTAAAACAAGTACAGTCAATGTTTTACTTACATTGCATGCTCCTCCACCTCTTTTTTCTCTCCACCATTTTTTATAAAGCTGAGTGAATTTTCCTTTTTCTTGTAGCTTTATAACACTGCTACTTAGAATATTTCTGTACCAAGCACCTAAAATCCGATACAGCCAGTAAAGCCAAATTTTGTGTCTACATTATTGCAGTAGGCCCCTACCTATGTGTAGTGTACTGTAGGTGACAACTTCACTATGTAATGGACAGTTTATTAATCACGCAAAGAAAACCTATCTGATTAAAGAAAGTTTAACTCAAAATTCATAATTTTTATTGTTCCAATTTTCCTAAATGTCATATTTTGTTTGACAAAAAATTGACAACTGTAAACCAATGTTTTATTTAACATCTCCTTTGGGACTGCAATGAAATACACATAGTTACACAATGTGTTTAGCAAAAAACTAAAGCCAACAAGTTTAAAATTTTATTTTTACTTGTTCTTTGGCCAATAATCCTAATAATATACATTGGTACTACTGATTTTTGGAGTTTATAGCTGCATATGTTGCCTTTTTTGAATTTTTGGTATACTTAAAGCACACCTAATTAACAAATAATGCTTGTTTGACTAGATTGTAATGAGTTAGTGCATTTTCTGTGTTCTTGCATCCTATTCTATCACACGAGTCTAGCCTTTGAAAACAACTTGTTTGTGAGTAAGGATCAGTATTCTTTCGCTTTTCTATAAAAAAAAACTTACCCTTAGTCATGACAATGCCGTAGCCCTTGCTGTCCAGAGGGTTGCCGACCTGCCTCAGCTCACAGTGCCGCTGCACCTCGTAGTCTATAGAGGCAGACTCCATCAAGAAGGCATACTCATCAGCATCACTCAGTACTCTGTCTACACCATCACGGTTAGACTTCATCATCACGTCGTCATAGTTCTCCTGCATGTACTGCCACATCCTCTGGTATGTTGAGTGGTTTGATGACTAAACAAACCTTGATTTTAATGTTTGTAGTTGAGATCAGTAAACTGACAATGTTTAAAATTGATTGGTATGATTGAAATATTGCATGGGGGTAACACTGGCTCTTATGTATGCTTTCACACGCGTGTTCCGGGCTGGATCTGCCCGGACATAAATCAGTAGTTTTGACAGTCTGAGTCTATCAGTGGTTGATTGTGCTTGATTTCCTAGTACTCTTCCTAAATTATTAGGGAAGTTTCTGTTTTCAATATGTAGGAAGAAATTGATATCGAGCATTAGATTCGGTCAAGTATTATGTTTTGGTTTGGTTTAAGGGCAAGTGATTTGGAACAATACCCCTGTCGCATCAAACAATTTTCATTTGGCTGGTTAATTTTTTATAATTTCACTACACATGTCTGATTTATTTCATATTTAAATCAAAATTAGTTTTATTCAGCACTTACGTTTGCTTCTATAGGGAAGACAATGAAGTGTTGTTTTAGCTAAACCTCAAAGTTTATACATTCATAAAATATACATATATCATAAATATTACTACAGAACTACTTTTTCTCCTCACCAAAACAAAAATTAATGGGCCAAGGTCTGAATTTTATTGTGCCACCTATTATCAATTATCAATTATTAAGATGGGGATGCCACATATGTACCCAAATATGAGTGCAGGGTGAGTGCAGAATGGAGTAAGATGATCTCTGTAAGCTTTGTTACTACGAAGAAATATTCTTCCCTATAGGGATGAATTTGCCAAAACTCTGAAAGCATACCATAGTTATGTATGTATGTAGTAATGGAAGCAATGTGAGAGCTGTGTTTAGAGTCAAAAACAAATATACTGTGGATATTCTACAACTTTAAAAAATACAATCGATATCACTGCCTCTTTACACACACCACTTTGATCCTAATAACTTCTTCATGGGAGCAATGTACATTCTTTTGGAACACAACAAGTAAAGCATGACCATCTTTCTTTTATTAATTTAAATTTCAAAAAGACTCAAAAACCACAAAATTTTATCCTGGAAACACACCCGGATCTGGGCAGCTAGTGTGAAAGATCGTCTTGAGTCTGCATTGACTATACGGGACTGGCCCGCACCTGGTGTGAAAGAGGGGGTTAAATAATAGCTTAGATGATTCTAAAGTTAAGAAGGCAAAATCCTCACATAGAATATAGGAATAAGAATTTTGGGCATTGTAATTATTTCAGGATCTAATTTGTTTTAAGAATTGTAGGCAAGATTTTTTTAAAAATTTATTTATGTATCTGTCATAGTACCTCAACTTGAACTATTTTTACAGCACAAGGAAAAAGAAATGTTAAAGAATTTAAGGAAGAATCATGATGTAAAACTGTATGTTCGATATGTAGACGACATTCTTGTTATCTTCAGACAAGCCCAGTAGCAAGAGCACGAAACAATTATTCAGACACATGGTCCGAACCTCACTTTTACCAACAAGTTTGAAGAAAACCAAAAGATCAACTTCCTGGACCTCACATTAGAGAGAAAAGACAGACATCATCTACAGGAAACCCACGCAAAGGGACACTACAATCAACAGCAAGTCTATTCATCCAACAATCTACAAGACCGCAGCTTTTAGATCCATGCTGTACCGAGTATATAATATCCCACTTAGCCAAGCCAATAGGAAGAATGAACTGAACACCATCAAGAAGATCGCACAAGTAAATGGATTTCAAACCCAGACAATAGAGGACATCGCAAGAAAGACGAGGAGAAAAATCAATAGCCAGAATAAACTACACAGCAGAACAACATTAGGAGAGATGAAAGAGGAAAACACCAGATATGTCACATTTAGTTACACGGGGGCTACAACAGAAAGGACTGCTGCAGGTTCAAAAAATACAAACCATGAGTAAAATGCTGCACCCTAAAATAGAAGATTGTAATAAATTCGACACTTCGGGCATCTATGAAATCAATTGTAACGATTTGTAATAGCTTCTACATAGGACAGACTATGAACTTCGTTAACCGCTTCAAAAACCACATATCTGCGTGGAGGAACAACAAATCGGAAAGATCAAATGTCGCACAACACCTGTTACAAAATGGCCACGCAATAGGAAAAATGGAGGATAGTCTATGTATTTTAAAGAGTTGTAAAAAAGGATATGAAATGAATGCTTGGGAAGAGAATTGTATATTTATAAGGAAAATAAAAAAAAATTGAAATAAGCTGATTAAGTAAATTTCGACTCCAGTTGTACTTATAAAAATGTATTGGCCGGTGCTTCCAGTAGCTTCCAGTAGGATATATGTAGGGACGCCATTCAAGATTCTTGTCATTCGCCTATTGGGTCTAATGATGATTGGAGTGTCCAATCAAAATCGATCACCAATTACCATCTTTTATGTATATTTACCATCTTGTGAGTAACAGTATAAGCGTAAATATATGTTTTAAGTGTTATAAGACGTTTCCTTTATTTACTTTCTGTAATTTTAATTATCTAATGGTAAAATACTTCTTGCCAAAAACGTGGTTGTTCATCACTCAGGTCTGTTACAGAATTTCCTTTTTAAAAAAGATTATTTCAATGCGAGCTAATCATTTACTTCACTACAAAAAGTACTTTAAGAGTAAACAATATAAAAACTGTTGTCAAATCAAATGTACTTTTTATGACCCGAGTTCTCTACCTTAAAGAATCCTTCAGTTGCACCACCAGCCTTGGCACCATACTTGACAAACACAGGAGCATTAGGCTTCTGATTGGCCAGCTCCTCTACATTGCGGAATATCTCTTCATTCTGCTCTACTGTGAGGAAGGCGGCCAGGTTGGCTGTGTAGGAGGAGACGATGATGAGAGTGAAGAACCACCACACAGACGCCAGCATGCGAGTGGATACTGAACTGGAATTTAACAAATATTTTCCACTATGAAAATACTCATGAATATGTTTATAAAGATAAGAAGAACTAATCAAAATTCCTAAAGAAGGGTGTAGAGATTTGTGTTCTGGAAGATTCAAAGATTTTATGACAGTCAATGAAGGGAGCTTTTAAAAACCTCTCAGTCAAAAATGCTTTCATATAATTGTTATTTCACCTCTACTTCTATGAGCTTATGGAAGATCAGTTTCTTAATCCATATATGGTTAACATTTTTTATGCTTTCTCTACTACTTATTTGGAACAACATGGAATAGTATTTATTGTACAAAGGAAATTCTCATTAGATTTAAGCAAAGTGCCCAGTCAAAGACAAAACTTTCTTTGAAAATGAAAAATTGATATAATTTCATTCTTGAGACATATATAATGGGATGATTTTAATGAACTTTATGGGCTCATCTTATCCACACTATGGTCGATTGCATGGCTTAATGCCTAGTCAGCCATAAGCCATAAGGGTCACTCAATTCATACCAATGCTTGAAGCTACATCACTCTCAAAAGTCATCCACTCACATAGGGGCCAGTTCAGACCCTTGCTGCATGATGGAGCCAGTCACAAACCAGAAGGAATTGTTGAGGCTGAACTGATTCTCCAACTCTTCTATTTCACCCTCATCGACACATGGATAAGGGTTGGTCCACTCCTTGGGACTTATCCTGGAAAGGTAATAAGATTATGTCCAAACGATTCAACCCATAAGACTGCAATAAAAATGTTGACCACTATGATAAATCAGTTTAACCATGTACCAATGTTAATTTAATGAGCTTGACACATTTTGAGGGTTTTATTAGTTGAAAGAGTTTAATTATGTCTATAAACATTGCAAAATAGTCTCAATTAATACCTGGCAATTATATACATGAGCAGAGAGATCCCAACGTAAGCAGCCATCAGCGCTTGCCACAGATCTTTGCTGAACGGAGACATGAATGAGAATAAGCTTGGAGACTTTGTTGGTTTTTTGTACAAAATACTGATTCCTGGAACAAAAAGGTTACTTTTATTCACCATGCTAAATTCTGAAAAAAGACATTACATTATTATTACTAATTCTTGTACTGTAGAAATGTATATACCTTAGTGTAAGCATATTATAGTTGGCTCACCTAGATTCATATAAGGCAAAGTAAAGTCAGCATCCTTTTCTCTTTCCTGGGTTATAGTAATATCTGCTATTGCCAGGTCAGCTCTCTATAATCAAACATACCATAAATTAAATATAAACACTAGAAAATTTAGAGGAACTTGACATTTATTAGATTATGTTACCCATTTCCAGCGCTATTTTAAATACAGTACTTTAAGCATGTAAAACTAATTGTTTTGTTGAAATTTGGCATAGGAAAATAATCTATCCCCTAATCTTGAGTGTCTGTAATTCTGGTAAGAGGTAAGAGTTATAGTCGATTGAGCTGATGAATATAATGTATTTATTTTGGCTTGTTGGTGCTATGTTGGAGTTCTAAAGCTATATCCAATAAATGCAACTATCATAACCAGAAATTGAATATTGGGGTAATTAAATCTTTTTGTTTTGATCAAATTGTCGTAAGATCTGTCTCATACCTGGAGCTGGAGCAGTGGTCATTAAAAAATATATTATATTGCAACAAATTCCTATTTACTTTTTAAAAGCGGTCCAATACCAATTTATAAATAATTGTTTGTTGCAGCCGATCTTCATCAGATAACACAATACAATAAATTAAAACTTATTAAAACCCTTCTTTAGGTGTACTCTCTCTTGTTCTTTTCACTCTGAGGTGTTAAGTGAGGAAATTGAAAGGTTTGGGGATTGTTACATGAGGGTGACCATTGACTGTTGGATACAGAAGTTGTATTAATAGTCAAAGGTTTGACTTAAGCCCTCGTTCATATAAAATACACTGCTATGCCTGTAGTCATACAAACAATCACTTTAAAACCTTTTTGTAAGATGTAATTGCTGTATTATTTTACTGTCTAAATAAAATACTGGATTTTATTAACTTTCACAAATAATGCTCAGTTTGAAAAAAATCCTATGTACTATGGTTTAACCTTATCTACAGAATATTTTGAAAATTTTCCATTACAATTACTAAAAAACACTTTTCATGATGTTTTGGGATCGTATGAGAAAGTATCAAAGAAATTTTTAACTCTCTCCTGTCAGTTTCCAGACCATGTTGTGAACATTGTTCACTATTAGTGATGAAAAGTGTCCGCAATATATCTGTTAGATAGTGTAAAATAACTATAAAAAATAAACTTCAATAAAAGACTAAATGCCTTAAACTTTTCTTACTACGGCCCCAAGGTGTAGTGCACAAGAGGGGAGTTGTTGATTAAACATGTCTTCAATTTAACAATCACCTACCCTGGAACGTTTGGGGTGCAATGACTTGAAATAAAAACACCATTTGGGGAATTAAATAAAACCCGGCCGACTACATGTTTACGGTTTGTTGGAATCTTGAGGACTGGTCAGCAAGGAAACTTTTGGAACGGCGGTTAAACGTGGAGGGAATAGTGGCGTGATGGGTTGTAGCCAATCCGGGAGCTTTATTGAAATCATACGATATGACGTCACAGTCGCCTGATCGCAGTCAGGACACAAATGCAAAACATATTGCCAACTCTTTCTAACACAAATCTAAATATCGTAAAAATGGCAACATTATGGTACATTATTATTGTATACACTACATTTCCTCCCCTTTAAGTTTAAAATATTTTTTTCTTAAAATACGCAATTTTTATCAACACATCAAACCAATTAAATAATCATTAAATAGCCTAAAACAAAAACACTTTTATAAAACAATATTGTATGATTCAATCAAATAAGACAAAACAATAAACATTAAAACAAAACAACTTTGATAAAATTGGAAACAAAACACAGAAATAAATATTTACAAATTCAACCTTTCAGGAGGTTTTATTTCTCTGGCAGATCGCCTCAATGGCGATGCTTGTTTGGGTCGATCAGCTGATCGTACAGGTGATGTAAAGGTCACGTCCGGTGGAGTAAGCGATGAGCGCGTACTACTACGTTTACTACGTCCTGGAGTACGAGGTGTACTCGGCATTTCCGGTCTCATGGGTGAAGCCCGACCAGCTGACTGAGCATTGTTACCAACATCCTGGTCAAACATATGTTCAGCTGGAGGCAACACTACCTCTCTAGTAATATCATTCTGTTGATCATTCAAATTTACCTTAGTGTTTAACCCGACCAGCTGGTCAATATGGCGTTTCCATACAATACCTGAGTCTAATTTTACTAAATAAGATACAGGACTTAACATTTTAATCACTACACCTTGTGTCCATTTATTTCTTCCCCTGTAATCACGAACTAAAACAGGCTGTCCTATTGACAGTTCTCTAGTTTGACTGCCCCCTTTGTTTACAACTTGTTTGTTTTGGTTTGACAAAACCGTTTTACTAACAGAAGGACGTATCAGATCTAATGTAGTTCGCAATACTCTACCGAACATTAGTTTGGCTGGTGTTTCATTGGTTGTATTATGTACTGCATTTCGATATGCCAACAAAAATCTACTTAAAGCTAAGTCTGGATTTTGATTTGAAAACAAAGCCCCTCTTATTCTTTTCTTTACTGTTTTTACAGCATTTTCCGCCTGGCCATTACTAGCGGGAAAATAAGGTGGTGTAAGCGTATGCCTAACCCCATTAGCTTTAAGAAACTTGCTAAATTCACAGGATGTAAAAGGAGGGCCATTGTCTGTGACACACTGTTCCGGAATTCCAAACCTTGCAAACATAGGTCTCAATTTATTTATGACTACTTTGGCAGATGTGGAACTGACCTCCTCTACTTCTATCCATTTACTATAAGCATCAACTACAACCATATACAACTTTGAATTAATAGGGCCTAAAAAATCTATGTGTAATCGTTGCCACACTGACTTTGGGTATTCCCATACATGTAAATATGACCTTGACGGGCTTTGACGTTCCATGAGACATTGCGAGCAACTATTGGCAAGTTCTTCTATGTCTTTATCTATTGAAGGCCACCATAGATAAGAACGGGCTAAAGTCTTCATTTTGACTATCCCTAAATGTCCACAATGCAATTCTTGTAACAGTCCCCTTTTATACATTTTTGGAATGACAACCCGATAACCCCACATTAATATGCCATGCTCAATAGTTAGTTCGCTCCGCCTTATGAAATAAGGTCGTAATTCCTCGTTTACCTCATTAGGCCAGCCATACAAGACATAGCCAAATACCTTACTTAACTCGGTGTCTTTTTGTGTTTCCCTCTTAATATCAACAAAACTAATTGGAATATCTCCCTCCGCTAAAAATTGCAAATAGGTTCCTACATAAGGATTTTCCTCATACTGTTCGTTAACATGTTTGGCTTGCAAAGGTAAGCGAGATAAACAATCTGCAGAAGCATTTCCCTGAGAGGAAACATATTGTATGTCAAAATCATAGCTGGCTAAAAATAAAGCATACCTCTGTAATCTGCTAGCTGCAAAAGCCGGAAGTCCCTTTTTAGGGCCAAAAATTGACAACAATGGTTTGTGGTCTGTTACTAGTGTGAATTTTCTACCAAACAAATACTGATTAAATCTTTTATTTAACAGCAAACACAATAGCTAAAGCTTCTTTGTCTATTACAGAGTAGTTTGATTCGGCTTTAGACAATGTCCTTGACGCAAAACAAATAGGTTTTTCAGATCCATCTGATTGCGTTTGACTTAACACACTTCCGACCCCGTAGGCAGAACTATCAGTAGCTAACCTCAAGGGTAAATTTGGGTCATAATGCGCCAAAATAGGAGCTGAAACTAATTTGCTCTTAATTAATTGAAACGCTTTGTCACATGATAAATTCCATTCAAATGGAGTGTCCTTTCTGAGTAAATGATACAGTGGGGATACAATGGTAGACATACTTGGCACAAATTTAGAATAATAATTGACTAAACCTAGAAAAGCTTTTAACTGAGTTACATTGGTAGGCACTGGGGCGTTTACAATAGCTTCAATTTTACTAGGAGATGTGCCTAGTCCTTGTTTACTTAATATGTACCCTAAATACTCAACAGATTTACAGAAAAACTGACATTTATTTTGACTTACTGTTAAACCATGATTCTTTAAAGTTTCACACACTTGAATCAACCTCTCTAAATGCTGTTTGTCATCAGTTCCTGTTACCAAAATATCGTCTAGGAAGCAAACAACGCCGGGAATGTGAGCTAAAATGCGTTCCATTATACTCTGAAATATTCCCGGGGCGGATGCTACACCATATGGAACTCGGTTGTAAATATACAATCCTTTCGATGTACTTATTGTACAATACTTCTTTGATTCCTCGTCTAACTTTACCTGAGTGTAAGCCTGAGAAAGATCGATTTTTGAAAATGTCTCCCCTTTTTGTAAATTATTAAAAATGTCCTCAATCCTTGGAATTGGGTGGCGATTGACTACTAAATAGGGGTTGAGCATTACTTTAAAATCGCCACATATTCTTATACTTCCGTCCTTTTTCAAAATAGGCACAATTGGAGTTCCCCATTCACTATTGCTAACTTGAGTTAAAATCCCATTATTTACTAATCGATCAATCTCAGACTCCACTTTACTTTTGATCGAAAATGGTATAGGTCTGGGTTTGAAAAACTTAGGAATTACATTTTCCTTCAACTCTAATCTAGCTGCATCTCCCTTGTAACAACCTAACACATCAGTAAATACCTCAGGAAATTTACTGTACAGTTTACTGACAATTACAGGTTTTTGATCTAGCTTTTCAACCGTGTTCAAACTATTTTCTTTAGGGATTTGGATCGATATTTCTAGTTCCCTAATCCAGTCTCTTCCCATTAGAGGATTAGCCCCTTTAGACACAACATACAAAGTTAACTTTTTATGCTCAGATTCATGCTGTACATTTACGTTAAGTTTTCCTACAGGTTTTATTGGCTGGTTTGTATAGGAGCTCAAAACTAAATTAGTGGGCATTAATTCGAGATCAGAGAAATTATCGTTATAACACTTTTCAGAAATTACTGACACGCATGCTCCACTGTCAACCTCAAATGGCAATACAGTATGTTCTACTTTAAGATTAACCGTGATAGGTTTTATTCTATCCCTCTGTTTACTTTCCTCATCATTTATGGAAAATAAATTAGCTAAATCACTATAATCATCGTCATTGTCATTGACACCTGTGTTCTCTACATAGTTTTGCTTATACTTATGAGACTTGTTACCAGAGGTAAACTTAGGTGTACAGTTCTTTTGTCCATCTTTACGCTTATCATTAAATGCAAATTTAGATTGTGACTCACCATTGTTTTTCTTCATCAGACACGCGCTTTCTAAATGGCCTTTCCTCTTACAAAAATTGCAAGATAAACTTTTAAAACGGCACTCACTTTTTAAATGACCAGATTTACCACAACAATAGCACTTTACTTCACTTTTTGAGCGCTGCCACGGCTTCCGCTGCTGCTGCTCTTGCTTCGAAGCGACGTTGTGGAGACGACTTCCTCCCCCCGTGTTGTGGTAGGTCAGGGCCGCGGTGTCTCTCGCCGCCAACTCCATTGACGTGGCTATTTGGACCGTCTTCTCGTAGGTGAGATCTTCCTCGCCCAGCAACCTCTTCTTGGTGGCGTCGTCCCTCAACCCACTTACGATCCTGTCCCGAAGATGATCCGGTAGTTTATCCTTAAACTCGCAGTTGACAGAGAGTTTCTTCAGGTTGACGATGTAATCAGCGACTGATTCATGCTCCAATTGTGTTCGTAGACTAAACTTGTACCCTTCGGCAATAAAAGATGGTTTTGGATGAAGATGTCCCTTAATGATCCGTACAATATCCTCGTAGCTCTTAGTAGCAGGTTTGTCTGGTGTACATAGGTCTTTAAGCAGGTTATAAGTTTTCACTCCTACAACCGTCAAAAGCGTACTAACCTTTTTAGCGTCGGTAATATCGTTACATGTAACAAACAATTCAAAACGCTCGATATACGAGTCCCACGTTTCTTCTGAATTATCAAAAGGACCGATCGCACCGATGAACGACATCTTGAAATTTAATAAAGTTCCAAAGTTATCAATAAGGTTCTCATCAAGCGGCATTAATGTTTCACTCACACGCACTGTTCGAAGTTAACTTGACCGAATTCTTCTGTAAACACACGTACCTTCCTACGGTGCACTAGAAGTTCAATTGTCACTTTTAAAAACACACGTACCTTGCTACGGTGCACTTCTATTGTCACTTAAATCACTTAAAAACTTTTTACGCGTTGAGTCATTTTCGTACCTCGTCGCCACTGGAACGTTTGGGGTGCAATGACTTGAAATAAAAACACCATTTGGGGAATTAAATAAAACCCGGCCGACTACATGTTTACGGTTTGTTGGAATCTTGAGGACTGGTCAGCAAGGAAACTTTTGGAACGGCGGTTAAACGTGGAGGGAATAGTGGCGTGATGGGTTGTAGCCAATCCGGGAGCTTTATTGAAATCATACGATATGACGTCACAGTCGCCTGATCGCAGTCAGGACACAAATGCAAAACATATTGCCAACTCTTTCTAACACAAATCTAAATATCGTAAAAATGGCAACATTATGGTACATTATTATTGTATACACTACATACCCCAGAGATGACCTCTCCGATCATTCCGTTCCACTTGTTGGTGACAGGGTCCGGATTGCCGCTGCCCCCCTCCTTCTGCTCTCGGAACGTGTAGTTGAAGCCGCACATGAGAGACAGTTCATGTATAACATCTATTGCCATCCCCTCATACTTGTCATTACCCTCCAGCTTGGTGGTTGTCTCTTTAAACATGGCATGTGGGTCTATCTGGAAACAAACAAAATATAGTAATAAAGGTAGATTTCACTCTTTTGTTAGTGCCGTTGTGATGTAATTGCTGACATGCCAATGTATTTATGAAAATATTTTCTGGCATCTAGAGTTCTGAGTTCTTTAGTTCTTAGTTCTGTCAAAAATACTTTAGCGCGGACATGGTTATTATCTAAAGCATTTACACTAGTTAGCACATTCGCTGCGGCCCATCAATGGCAAGTGTAGCCCCGGTGCGGCGAACAAACCCGATTGCCTTTCAAATATTTTGTTCTGACGAATAGCAAATAACGTGCGGTAATGTGCTGCGTTATGATGAGAGTCGACATAACTCGCAAAAAGAAAAGACCCACAGATAGCTGCACTGATTAAAAAGTATCCTATTGTATTGCCAATTTTACAGGGAAATTCACTACCAACCTACACACAATTATAGACCGGTATTAGAGACACTATACTAACGTGTACCAATGGTCCTCGGCGAGAGCCTGAGCCACACTGACTCGGCAAACAATGCATTGCGTGCTGTGTCCCTGGTGATGCAGCCTGGTGCACTACAGCACACCATCCGTCACCGAGGACCCAGCCTCAGCGACTGTGTTAACTCAGAAAGTGCCAAATCTATACTATTATAAAGAAGAGGTGGTGTCTGTGTGTGTGTTTGTATGAGCTAATCTCAAAAACTACTGGTCGGATCGGGCTGAAATTTGGCATGATGATAGCTCACATTCCCGATTAACATATAGGCATATTTTTATCCCAAAAAATCCTTCGGGGCTCCGCCCCAGTGGCTCTGGAGTTTCCCATGTTAACCTTATGAGAAATGGAATTAATGAATCTTAACAGCTGTTTCAATTAAACAAGTTGGTTATGTTCTATGATGTTCAATAGCATTAAAAGTTACAAGGATTACCAACAGGGTGCAGCACTAGCACTATTATTTCTTTTACATTTATGACAACAGCAAAAGGTGAGTGAGCGTAGCGAACGAACTTCAACCTGGAGGCGAGTGAGCGTAGCGAACGAGCTAACCTGAAGGCAAGTGAGCGTAGCGAACGAGCTAACCTGAAGGAAAGTGAGCGCAGCGAACGAGCTCCAACCTAAAGGTGAGTGAGCGTAGCGAACGAACTTCAAAAAGAACCGAAATTTCTTAAACCATGTCCTCACTCATAACTGCTATAAGCATTTGATACTTATATGCCAACCCCGTACGAAGGACGGGTACTCTGCTAGTATTTCATAAAGAAAAATTATATGGAAGACAATTTAAAACAAAAATATCAAGAAACCATACAAATATTAACTAATCTTCACCCAAAGGTGGTAAAAGTGGCCAAATATTATTTGTACTAAACCTAAGCGAATTGCCTCTATTGTAAAATTGTGACATTGGCAGGACTCAACATGAGGATGTATGCAGTGAAGACACGTTCTGTGATGACAAAAATTATATTTCTTACAATGGAAAAAGGGGAAATAGGATAGGAGGTGTTGTATACACATCTATTTTTGTTGTAGGACTAAAACTTTCATGATGTATTGAATGACATAGGCCTAATTGATTGGATGCTGAAGTCAAAGATGACATGTTAATTTAATATCGCAAGACAATTCTAACATCCCTTTTTTAAACGTTGAAGGACTTAAGTGATTTTAAGTTGTTTGGGATACTGTAATATTTTTATAATACGCTTACCAATGATATCATGACAACAAAAGTCATGTTTCTCATTTCCAGCTTAGTAGCAATTTCACTTTCTGTTTCCAAAGTCTGCGTGAAATTCACTCCTTCTGTGGTGTTCCAAGTTCCTTTCTTTTCCAGACCTTCAGATGTGAGTTCAATTACATCCAACTTAATGTCTGTTCTGAAGCCTTCATGGTTGAATTTGATTAGGCCTGTTAATCCATTCATTTCACTCTGAAACATGTATTGCTATAACTTTTCTAGCTAAAGTATGAATTGATTTTCATTTAGCCGGTAGTTGAGTCGAGTGTGATAAAAAAAAATAAATAAAAACATTCTCAGTCATAGCTTTAGATAACAAAGGCATAGGCGCTCACCCACCATGGTGGATTTAAGATGACTGGCAAAGAATATGAGGTACTTTGGTACTTAACTTCCATCCAGTTCAATAAAGTCAAGAACTTGTAGTAATAGCCTGGAGTCAATATCATAGAAAAAATATTGTAAAGTTTATTTAACTTGTCCCCTAACTACTGGTTGTAACAATAAAACCAATATACTTGATTTATTGGTTTTGGAAAATTCCATGTGACCTCTTATATTAACAACTATTAAGATGAAGAGGGAATGTGAAAAACTGAAATGATCGGAAATATTGTGAGTTGCCAAAGTTGGTCAAAGTAAAAAATGGGGTTTAGTACCAATTAGTTGAAGTAAAGTTTATGGCTCAGATCTGTACATGTACATCTGTACAACTCATCCTACACTCATCTCCATTCATACTTGGCTTAAAATACCTACATAGTATGGTCACCATTTCATAAGAAAGTATAAAGTAAAGTATAAAGCATGTAATAGAGGATCAAGAAAAACAAACGGTGAACTGATACTAATAATTTATTATTGTGGCATTGGGACGTGATGAAGCCACACTATGGCTGCTTGGTCAGGGACTTCAATGTTTCCAAGCTAAACAGCCACTTACCAGATTCTATCTCACTGCGTTTTTCTTTAGGCCTTCATGAAATTAAAGTACAAATAGTGAAATATATTATTTAGCATGACTATAAATTAATAACTGGCATTTTGGTAATTATGAGTAGAATTTTATCATTGAAAGATGCAATACTGACTAAGTAGCATTTGTTTAACATACCACTTTCATATAGTTGATGATACTGTAGCCGTGATCCCAGTTCTCATTGGTGTCGCAACTGAGAGGCTTAGGTTGAATATCCATACTTCTCAACAGCTGATCCACGGTTTTAGCGTAAAACAACACTGCATCATGGATCAGAGCTGTCTCAGTCTGAAAAATAGCATGGTTAATATTAAAGTAAAAAAAATGTTGTTTGATAAAATATTTCATAGTTAGCAACTATGGTAATACAGTAGACTCCCTCTTATCCCGACTCCTCGGGACCGAGGCCAGTCCGGATAACGGGTTTTCAAGATATCAATAGACATGGTTTAGCCCCTGAGCTGAATGATGACTATAATATAATTGTACAATTACCTCGTCACAGCTCCGTAGTTTCCGTATATATATACGGAAACTACGGAGCTGTGACGAGGTAATTGTACAATTATATTATAGTTTTCAAGATAAACCGACGTCCCCAAAAACTTGTTGAAACAGACTGTTTACTGTGATATTCAACTTAAATTTAGGAGAGCATTGTATTTAGACACGTGATCACTGTTCTCAAATCTTTCCCCTGAGAACAGTTGTTTCAATACCGCCCACTTCATGCAGATATAGTCCGGTTAAACCAATGAATGTGCTGGTAAAAATTGTAAAAATTGCAATGATAATTTAATAGAATATAGGTTTAAAATTTAAATTTTTTGACTGTAAATTACTGTAAATATTAGAGACGGAAGACTGACTGAAACCAACTGACGGACAATTGACTGAGAAATTGCGGATGCAACTGTGACTGGACTGTAACTGGACTGCAACTGGACTGTAACGGAACTGTGACTGGACTGATGTGTGTGAATCGACCTTTAAACCGATGTCCGGTTAAAAGGTGTCCTGATAAGAGGGAGTCTACTGTAGTAAACTTTGTTTTTTAGAAACTTTCGTTTTTATCCACACTGTACTTTAAGTTTTCAAATGTCCAAGTAATTTTTTATTAGGTGAAAGGACTAATATGGAAAAATATGAAAAAAAACTATAACATTGTTTTTTTTACTTAGAATACACAAGACCCTCTATTTTTTTCATACATGATAAAACAACCGCTTTTCATTGGTTATAATAGAAAATTTAAAAATTCAAACAAAAGTCTACGTAAAATATGTGTAAACATTTAAACGAAACTGTATTTTTTTGACTCTTATAACTGCTGGGTAATGGAGCTTACATAGACCGAGAATAGCCTTGAGTTGTTTCTTATAACCAATTAACATGGCTATGAAAGATTTCTAAAATAATTAATGAGATCACGTCCGGCATACTTAAACTTCAAAGACACTTTGAACACTATTTTGCACCCGTTCTCCAATATTTATTCCTGCAAACCTTGTGTTATATATTCCAAATAATCTATCTTTTATTTAATATTGATCATATGACTGGAATAATTTCATATTTAAAATAATTCAATGTTTACATTTATTATTAAGAAATAAACATGTATCAAGAGTTGTGTTCATATATTTTGTATTATTTGTATATCTAATAATTTGGAGACGAGGAAGAAAATGACTGAAATACAAGACCTTATATCTACTTTGAACAGTTTTATGACATTAATGACACAACATACAAGTCAACAGACAGAACAGCCTAGATCAAAACATAGTACCAAGGAACTACTACAGAGCAATGCCTTGATGTTTGATGCTTATGATGAAAGTAAGGAAACGTTTGAAAGCTACACTCAGCGTTTAGAAATATTTTTTTAAATAAAAGGATTGACAGACAATGATTCAGAGACTGAACAATTGAAAGGTTTATTTTTAATCAATTGCTTAGGTGCTAAGCACTACAATCTGATCTGTAGTCTAACATCTCCAGACAAACCAGACTCAAAAACATATCAAGAATTACTTATATTACTATATGAGCACCTAAGCCCAAAGAAGAACATACTTACAGAACAGCACAAATTCTTATCCCGTTTACAAGATGGAAATGAATCAATCACAAATTATGTCACAGTCCTCAAACAACTGGCTTGTTCAGCAGATTTCAAATCTGGGTGTAAAGAAGGAAAATGTACAAAATCAGTTATAAACCTCATGCTCAGGGCTCAATTCATCAGAGGCTTATATGACTCGGACATCAGAGAAAAACTCTTACAACTGGGGGAAATATCATTTGACAAAGCCTTAGAAATCGCCTTGGCTATAGAGGCATCAAAACTTGACAACCAGATTTTATATACTAGTAATAACCAGAATGACATTCACAAAATAAGTAAAACAACAAAGAACAATATCGGCCCTAAGAATAAAAGTTTCTCAACCAAAAACCATTTCTCTAATGACTCAAGCAAAAAGAAAGACAGGAAAAACAAAAGGCTACAAAGACTTGGACTTTTAGATGTCTGTTTGCACTGTGGAAGGAATAACCACGAAACACAAAATTGCCGATTAATAGATGAACTAAATTGCAGGTATTGTCATAAAGATGGACACATAGAAAAGGTTTGCATAGCGAAACGAATACAGGAATTACAGTCTTCAGAGAAAAATGTAAAAAGAGTTGATGAAATTGATTCTGAATATGAATACGACGTTCAACGGATCATAAATGTATTGAAGAATGACGAAGGAGATGACAGAATGATGATTAACATATCTCTAAATGGTAAACAGCAACGTTTTGAGTGTGATTCCGGAAGTCGTGTTAGCATAATAAATAATGATGACTTCAAGAAACTAGACTTACATGTTCCAGTTTACAAAACAAGTGCTCTTTTTCGATCTTATACTGGACAAATTTTACATTTTACTTTTACAATTTTACATTGTAAATCTACCTAAAAACGCTATTCTTGGAAGGGATTGGATTCGAAAATTGAAAATTAACTTACACAATATTAATCTTGTTAATATGAAGAAACCAGAGGTTGATACCAACACTATTGTCAAATCTATCAAGCAAAGATTCTCAAGCGTTTTTGAACAATGCATTGGTAAAACACCCAACTTTACATGCTCTTTAAAACTAAAGGATTATTCAAGACCTGTGTACTTAAAACCCAGACCAGTACCTCATGCTCTTCGAGAAGCTGTTGAGAATGAACTAGATAAACTTGAAAAAGAAGACGTAATAGAGAAAGTGGATCAATCTGAGTGGGGAACACCGATTGTTGTGATTCCAAAAGCAAATGGAGCGGTCCGTATTTGCGCGGATTACAAGGTAACTGTGAACCAACAACTACATGACAGTCGTTATCCAATACCAAGAATAGAGGATATCCTTAACAAAATGAGAAATGGAAACTATTTTTGCACTTTAGACATTTAGGCTACAAGGCTTATTTACATCTTTCAGTGGACTTTGAAAGTTCTAAGATCCAGACAATTACCACACATTAGGGTACATATCTAGCAAAAAGACTGTTTTTCGGAATTAAGACTGCCCCAAATGAATTTCATAAATTTATTGACCAAGTCGTACAAAATCTTGAAGGGACAGTGGCTTATTTTGATGATATTGTTGTACAAGGCTGCACTTTTGAAGAATGCAAATCCAGGCTCATAAAGGTCTTAGAAAAATTGGAACAACACAATCTACATGTGAATGTTGAAAAATGCAAGTTTTTTGAGAGAAAGGTGCAGTATCTGGGTCATATCATCAGCAAAGATGGTATCCAGAAATCACCAGAAAAGGTGAGGGCAATCCAGGATGCTCCCCGTCCAACAAATATCACAGGAGTGCGTCAATTCCTTGGACTAGTACAGTACTATTCAAAGTTCATCAAAGATGCATCTACACTGCTAAATCCCTTACATCAGCTTCTAAGGAAAGAAAAACGTTTTCACTGGTCCCAGGAATGTGAAAAAGCTTTTAATTGTGTTAAAGAAGAGATAGCAAGTGACACAGTCCTTACTCCATACAACCCAGACTTACCCGTGATACTTGCTACAGATGCTAGCCCTGTTGGCTTATCAGCTGTGCTGTCTCATAAAATGCCAAATAATGAAGAGAGGCCTATTGTATTTGCCAGCAGATCCCTCACTGATGCAGAGCGCAACTATAGCCAATTGGACAGAGAAGCAACTGCTGTATATTGGGGGTGTAAAAAAATGTTCGATTATATATACGGAAGGAAGTTTACTCTTGCCATTGACAACAAACCACTGATGACCATATTTCATCCAGACAAGAAACTACCATTGTTGACTTCATCCAGGATGCTTAGATATGCTCATTTTCTTTCAGGATTTGATTATGAGATCGTACATAAAAAATCAAACGACCACTGTAATGCAGATTACCTCTCAAGACATCCCTTGCCAATAAAAGAAGAGAATATAAATGTGGTTGACGAAGATTACACTGTTCGAAGAGAGACAATACACTGCATAGCAACCGATACAATCATGGCTAAAGACATAGAAAAAGAAACATCACTTGACGAAGAACTCTCTCGCTTAAAGGAAAAGCTCCTAAACGGAGAAGTCGCTGACCCAGAAATATCACTTCAAGACGGAATTATTTTTAGAGGAAATCGTGTTATCATTCCAAAAAAGCTACAACCTAAAATCCTCCAAGAATTACACTCAACACACGTAGGAATAGTGCGGATGAAGAGTCTGGCAAGAAACTACTGTTACTGGAAAAACATTGATACAGATATTGAGAGTATGGTGGCAAGTTGTAAGGCATGTTGTGAGAATAAGAAAAATCCAGAGAAGGCTCCTACCCATGTTTGGGAAATACCAAAACGCAATTGGCAGCGAGTCCACATGGATTACGCAGGACCTTTTCTGAATCACAACTTCTTGATTGATGTAGATGCCAGGTCAAAGTGGCCAGAAATATATCCGATAAAAAGTGCGCCAACAACTGCCAGTACTATTCATTACCTCAGAGAAATATTCAGTCACCATGGCCTACCAGGAATATTGGTCAGTGACAATGCCACAATTTTTAAATCTGCAGAGTTTCAAGCATTCTGTAAACGCCAAGGAATAAGACAACGATTCATTGCACCAGGAAACCCCTCTACAAATGGTCAAGCGGTAAGATTTTGCCAAACACTCAAGACAAAACTGAGGTGCATGCAGTTTGAACAGGGCACTTTACATGAAAAACTATGTGCAATATTATTTCGGTACCGAGCTACA